CCTGCCACGGGGGCTGGCTCCCAGCCCAGCACGGCCTCGCTGCACGGGAGCCGAGCGGAGACGTCGGAGCCTTTTACTGGAGAGTGCGTTCCTGGGGAGCATCGCTTCAGCCCAACGCGGTGGGGAGGGAAGCAGGGGGCACAGATGAGACCAGCACGGGGCCTTTGCACGCAGGCCAAGAAACCCGAAAAGCTGACAAGGAACAGACGCGTTTCAGCCCACCTCGCTAAGGGGGGGGACAAGTCCTCTCTGCAGGAGCCCTCCGCTGCAGCGTTGGTCCTGCACACACTTCTCCCTCGCACACACTTCTCCAGCCAGCATCTCACTGAAGCGCAAGCAGCGCCCGCCTCAAGGCCGCCCTGCACAGCAGCGGAGCTGCAGAGCAAGACTCGGGAAACAGCGCATCCCCAGCCCGGTTCTTGGGGTAGGACCTGCACCCTCCTCTACCACAGCGCTCCGAAACTTCCTACTTGTGATCCGGACAAGCGGAACGCTTCGTCCTTCCTTCATCCGTGTGCAGATCACACGTACTGGGAACAAAACACACACTACGCATGCAGTCCAGGCAGAAAGCCTGCTATGCTCAAACCTACAGGAAGAGGGGAATGGAGTGGGGACACGGGACTATTTCTTAATGCGAGGGCACGGACGCATGAACACGGGCGCCCTTCATGGCACCAAGGGCACAGACTATGTACAGCACCTACGGCAGCAGGGCACAGCAAGCAACGGGGCACCGGAACGCCCCTCATGTGGGACACGGCGTGAGCACCCGCTAAGAAGCCGCCCGTTCCTCCGAGGTTTGCCCGCCAGGACGAGCACGCGTGGAGCTGCATCCACTTGCGCGGGAAGGAGCAGAGACCACGAACCATGGCAGCACCGCCGGGCTCTGGCAGGTAAGCCAAGGAGGAACAGACCTCGTTTAAAGTTGCTTTGTTCGCAGTGTAGTTATCTGCTCATCTAGGGCTCTGCCTTTGGGGTCCACGGTGGTTTCCTTCTGAAACAGAACCTTCCGCTGTCAAACGAAAGGCTGCTCTCACATGGCAGACCACAACCAGCCCTCGACACAGAAGCACCAAACCGAAATGCCACCGAGACGCAGCCTCCGGAGGAGGGCACTGCCCCTCCAGCTCCCTGTGCTAGGGGTGAGGAGCAACGCCCGGGGCAGGAACAGCTACACCTCGACTTCACCTTTTACTGCAGGAGGCTGCCCAAACGCTGTGTTTATACACGAGAAACAGAAGCAAGCAAGAAATGTACACCTTGTAAAGCTGGAGACTGATGGAGGCTTTGCAGACAGGGCTAATCATATGGGTCTCCTTTAGAAAAAAAGGATGTAACAGTTGTGCTTAAAGAAAAAAAAAAGGAAGAAGGGCCAGCACTGCAAAGAGCCCAGCAGCACAGGCACCTCGGAGGAGTGAAATGTCAGCTCTAGAGCAGCGAGGAAGTGACCGCCTGCTGCGGCGCTGGCTGCAGCATTTAAATCCTGATCTGAGCAACCGTTACGAGCAGCGACAGCACAGAGCAGAGAACGGGACCGCAGCAGCACCCGGGCGAGACGGGGAGGAAAGGAGCCCCGGCTGGCAGCACGGGGACAGAAGCACAAGAACAGGCGCCGGGAGCGCGACACCGCGTGTTCTTACAGCTCTGAGCTCCAGCCCCGCGCCACTTCAGAGGGAGGAGTGAGAAAGCAGCGCGTGTCACTTCAGCCCCCAGACAGTAAAAATAAACCCAAACAAACCAAGAGAACTTTAGAAGGTGGGACCGAGCTTGGAAAAATGCATCTGTTCTGGCTTTTGCGAGTGGAATGTGATTCTTGTTCACGGGCAAATACACAGAGCACAACCCCTACCCGGGAGCGGCGAGCCGGGAGCCGGGAGCCGTGCGTGGGCTGGCAGAGACAGCTACAGGGGCTCTAGGACAACCACGGAGCAACAAGACAGGAGAGGGGCACAGAGTGACAGTCCCGTTCTCGCGTTAAATGAGGAATGCTTTAAAAGTAAAACTCGTCTTCAGCTAATTTCCTCCTGCAGTAAAACCGACCAAGCCGGCCCTGGAACGTACAAGAGCAGTTAAACGTCGGCCTTCCCCCTCAAAACACTAGGAACGAACATCCGGCAACACTCTACAATGGAAAGTGCTTTAAGAAAGAAGGATTCTGTAGTGCCAGTGACAGAACTGATCTGATGGGCTGGATGATGCTGCGGATGCCGCCGGCGGCCGCTCAGGCCAGGGCGGCTCGCTTCTCCTCGGGGGTCTCCTCCAGCAGCTGCATGATCAGTTCGTGGAGGGGTTTGCAGATCTTGGCGTAGCCCCCTCCCGTCAGGTGCAGGAAGTCGAACATGTCGTGGTACGAGATGGTGCCGTCCGAGTGCACGAAGCCGACGTCCACGTCCAGCAGCTGCACGTTGGGCAGCTTGGGAAGCGAGGCCTTTAGCAGGTGGTTCACCTTGGCGTTCTTCTGCCGCAGCGGGTTTGGCTTCTCTCCGCGAGGTAGCAGGCCCTGGCACAAGGAGGAGGCAAAAAAGAGCTTCATACTGCTCCGACAGCGTAACGCCGCCTGCTTGTCCCTCAGGTCCGGCTGCCTCTCAGGTTTTAGGACGTCTGCGACAAGAGGAACTCGTCCCTTGAGCCAGACTCGGTCCATCCAGACCGAACTTGGAGTGCAGCTGCAGGAGCCAGATGAGCTGCAAGCACGACCACTACAGCACCACTTTCTCTTTAGGTTTTCTAGCCCTTAATGCAGCAGTTCTGCACTTTGCATAAGCTTCCAGCAGCGTGCTGAATGCCATCACCCAGCTTCCCAAGAGCAGGGGCACTGGCTGACTGGCCAGGACAAGGAAGCCAACTGGGATTTCCAGTCCCAGCTCTGGTCTGGGCACCTTTTCCCCCTTGCAGGACCCCACCAGCAACATTTCAAAGCGGGACAGCAATACCGCTAACGGGAGTGACTACACCCGTCTCTGCGGGGGCTGAAGGGACACCTTCTGCAAAGCAAGGGAAGGAGGGGAGGCATGCCCAGGGCATGCCCGGGGCAGAAGACAAATGAAGCGCCTGCCCTCCCCCACAGCGCCCCGGGACTCCCCGCACCACGCAGGCACGGCCCAGAGCGCGGGGCTTCCTCGGCGCCGCTCGTTTGGCAGTGCCCCGAGACGTACCAGCACAATCACTTTGGCCTGTGGCTGCTGGGTGTTTATCAGGTGCACGATGGCCTCGATCCCGCCTGCGACTTCTTCTGCCGTGTTTTCGTGATTATTTGTTCCAACCCAAACAACGATGACCTACAGGGGGAGAAGAACGTTGCTGCTTTTCCAGGACGAGCTGCAGTGGGCTGGCTGACCCTGAAAGCCCCATACAAACATCGTCTGCCACCAGCGAGCTACGCCAAGAGCCAGGCTTAGGGCTAAAGCCAGACTGCAGCCGCCAGTCATGTGCATTTCTGACTGGCATCCAACGAGCCTGTGCTCTGGCCCTCAGTACGGATGAAGCAGCTTTTCTGGACAGCCCCAGAGCCCACTCCATTTCAAAGCCTCATGGACAGAGCAGCAGCTCACTCAGCTCTGCACCACTCAAGCACCCGAGTCTCTTTGAGGCCCAGCGCAGGGCTGAGGCACTGGGTTTTCTGCTTATACCTTCGGTTTAATGTTCTCCAGCTCCCCGTTCTTCAGCCTCCACAGCACGTGTCGTGTGGTGTCTCCACCGATCCCAAAATTCAGTGCATGAAGTGGCGAGAAGAGCTCTCGCCATATCTGCAATCAGAAATCAATTTGCCATCTCAGAGCAGATCCTGGTCAGGGAAGGTGCCGCACAGATCCAAGGGACGAGCAAGGGTGTCAGAAATGGAGGCAGCGACGGCTTTGGAGGAAGCCTGCAAATGGCTCACAGAGATAAAGCTCTGTACAAGCACAGGGGAGGTGGGGCAGCAGCGCAGCACAAACCCAAAGAGAAGGCAGTGAAACCAGTATGGGACAGCAGACACTGTGGCCATTACACCTGACCACCAGGGACCGGATCAGAGACACTGCTCTGACTGCCACGACCCCGCTGCCCACCCTTCTCCAGCCATACCTCATACTGCTGCAGCAGCTGCACCATGGAGTCACCCACGAACAGCACGTCGGGCTCCTTGTCCTTGCAGTCCAAGACAAATCTGTTGTGCTGTAAAAGGGGAGCAGAGAGGTAAGCCCCAGCCAGTGGCTCCTCTCCCACACCTCTGCCGCAGCACAGGAAGGCGCAGAGGCACAGCTGCGCAGCCGCCCTCCCCTGCTGTGCCCTCCTCGCCCTTCCCCGCGCTACCTGCTACCCCTGGACGTTCCTCCTGCTGTGCACACCCCGGCAAGCTTGGTTCCAGCAAGAGCAGCACTGACATGCTGCGCACGCGGGAGCTACGCACACGTGAGCCTGTCAGACGCCCGCTACGTTCACCAGTCCCAGAGCAGAGCCATGAACGGCTCGTCACGGCAGCAAAGGATGGACAGTGCGCACCTCTCGCCTCGCCCAGCAACCCCGGCCTCCATCAGAGGACTCCACCACGCACGCCCAGGGTCCCTGCCAGCCGTACCTGTGACATCCACCTGTCGTCGCCCTGGATGTCCTCAGCGGCGCGGGGAACGGCGGCCGGGTTGGAGCCCTCCTGGCTCATTCTGTTCCTGGGGAGAGAACGTTTGAGACCAGATTGCTTTAGACCAGTGGCGCTTTAGCTCGCCGGCGAGAGACCACGGCGCTTCCTGACATTCACAGCGGACAATTCGTGCCCATTCCTCCGTGCGTGGCCTTCTGGCTGG